TTGAAGTATAGTAGGTTACAATGTTGCATCAATTTCTAGTGTACAGCACAATATATCAGTCGTACATACACATACATATACTTGTTTTCATATTAAGGTTTTTAATTAATCTGGAAAAAGTCTGGCCATTATTTCTTTAAGTATTTCTTCAGCTCGTTTTCTCCTCTCCTTCTGGGATTCCAATTACACGTATGCTGTACCATTTGCTATTGTCCCACAGCTCTTGGATGTGTCTTTGTTCGTTTTTTTGTTTTTAACTTTTTTTCCTTTTGTATTTTCAATTTGTGTAATTTCTGTTGTCCTGACAAGTTCACTGATTCCTTTTTGGACAGGAGGCATTCCTGTTGATGAGCTGTCAAAAGCATTCTTTGTTTCTGTTACTATTGGTTTTTAGCATTTCCAGTTGATTTTTTTTTGTTGTAATTTCAATTTCTCTGTGAAATTACCTATTTGATCTTGCTTATTGTCTGCTTTTTTCACTAGAGCCTTTAATACAGTAATCATAGCTATTTAAAATGTCCAAATACATTAATCATAGTTATGTAAAATGTCTAAATCTTTAGTTCCAATATCTGTGTCTTATTTGAATCTGGTTCTCATACTTGCTTTGTCTCTTCAGGCCATGTTTTTCTTGCTTTTTTATGCTTTGCACCTTTTTGTGGAAAGCTGCGTGTGTTGCATAGGGCCGTGGATACCGAGGTAATAAGGATCTGTAATAATCTAGACAGGAGTTGGGCTGTATTTGAAGACTGTTGTTGCTGTAGTTACCTGTGAGGCGTGTTGTTGCCACGGGCACCAGAGACTTCAGACTCCTCTGGTGACTTTGGTTTTTGTCTCTCCTCTTGGCTCTGGGTCTTCCCTTTGTGCAGGTCCCCATAGAAGATCTGTCTCTTGCAGCTTTCCCAGTAATCACCTGTTGTCACTGGAGGCCGGTTGGTAGGGTGTGGGTAAAGGGATCATTCTCTCATGATCTGAGTCTTTGTTTTTGAACTGCATCGTGGGCCTGTTTCATAGGGGTATGGCCCTCACAAGTGCTTCTGCTTCTCCCGGAATAGAGCTTCTCTCTCCCATCCCTCCTCCAGCTGTGGGCCATATCCACCTGTATCATCCTCTGGCCTTGAGGCCATTCCCTCCACAGAGTGAGCCCAGGTCTGAGCAGAGTGGTTCCCTCCCCCAGAGGAGTGGTATTCCACAAGTGCCCTAAGGCTGCAGGCCTCTGATGACTTTTCCCCTGCAGATCAGGCCTTTTCTCCCTTAAAGGAGATGAGAAAGTCTCTGCGAGAGCCTGGTGATGTTCCGGGGGTAATACCTGCGAAGGGTGGGAACGTCCTGATGGCTTCAGCCCTGGGAGCTTCACAGCAGCCTCGCTCAGTGTCCAGCTGTTTGTCAACTTTCTAGTTTTCTCTCTCCAGTCTGGAAGTTACTGCCTCAGGTAAGCAAATGCTTTCCTGCGTTTCCCGAAGGCCCCTGTCCCTCTCCAGATTTGGGGACAGCTGGTTGTTCTTTGACCTCTGTTCTTTTGTGGGTTCACATAAATGTTGCTGTTTGTCCAGCTTCCTTCCTGTAAGGATGGGGGCCACATCCTTCCAGCCGTCCGCATCTCTGTGCTGGAACTGGATGTCCTTCCATCCCTCTGGGCGCCACTTGTCCTCTGACTCCAGCAGGTGGAGCTAGTTGTCTCAACAGTGAATGGATAAGAAATTCAGTTTCTGTTCCTGACATCACCTTTATTATCCACCTTTTTAAAAAATTTAATGTCATTTTTGTCGTCTGTCTTCTGTCATGTACACTACTGATTCCTCTATACCCACGGGTCTGTGTGGGGACTGTTTTGTCTCAGTGATCAATCTGTCCCCACCCTCAAACCACGCTGTTTTAGTGCTACATTTTGTGATATGTCTTGATGTTCAGTAGTGTACCTCCTCCTCCATTCTTCATTTAAAATTGACTTGGCTATTCCTAAAGATTTTCACTTCCAGATAAATAAAATTCACCTTGTCAAAGTTCCTGGAAATCTGTTGGGATTCAGGTGAGGTTGCATTGGATTTAGAAGTGGAGGTATATTATGCTGTACACCAGAAACTGACATGTTGTAACTGACTATAGTTAAAAAATAAAATACAACAGAAGTGGAGTCATAGGTAGAATTGATTACATATTGAACCTTCCCATCTCATAACTTTGTATGTATATTTATTAAGGTCTTCATTTACATTAAAGAAAAGTTAAATGCTTTTCTTCATAATGCTCTTATACATGTGTTGAAATCCACCAACCAAAATTTACACACTTTTAGTTAAAAAAAAAGAGAGAGTTAGGTTTATTTAGCTTGCTGCATCAAGGGAAAATCTACCCAGAAGAACTGTGGGAGCATCTCAGTGAAAGGAGTTGGAAGGACTTCTCATGGGATTTAGGATTGTAGTGGGTGATTCAAAGGAGGGATAAGGAAGCAGAGGCAGGTTTTGGATTATCATCCATCTGGAAATACATGCTTCTAAAATGCTCGGTTTTGAATATATGGTAGACCGTGTACTCAGTTAGAAGTGATTTGTGAAAATGAAGTCTTGCCCTTGTGGCAGTGTTGAATGTTACACGCTTCATCGTGCACGTGGTTCACTGCTCAGTTGTACCCAGTAACCGTCGGTTACTGTGCAGCAGCACAAGGGGGAATAGCATCTCTTTTTGATGCCTTTTTTTCCCTCAACGTATCAACACGGATGTTGCATTAAAATAACTCTGTTTTTCCCCTCTAGCAAAATCCTTTATACGACACAGACAGATGCAAGGTATTCCAGTGTGATCTAACTAGAGATGACCTTCTGGAGCACGTGCCCCCAGAGTCAGTGGATGTTGTCACGTTGATATTTGTGCTCTCTGCGGTTCACCCCGATAAGATGCACCTAGTCTTACAGAACGTTTACAAGGTCAGTGATGGGAAGCCTGGGCTGGAGGGTAAGACATCCTGATCTTTCCCCCTCCCTCCCTTCTGAGGCTCAGAGTCTCCCCACTCTCACAAGGTGGGCTGTGTGTCAGTATGTGGAAAGAGGTTCTACACAAAACATCCACCCTGAATCTGATTTGCCTGGTGGCCACTGCTGTCCTTCAGAGCTTGGCCAGTCTCGGAGCAGGGACGGTTTTGCAGCTCCCTGGGCTCTTGGAGTCCTGCCGTAAAGTGAGAGGCTGAGGTCCCGTGGACAAGAGCTCACAGCTGGAGGGAAGGCCCTAGAGCCAAAATCGGGCTTCCCGACATAGGCGAGTTCCTTTACCTCCCCGAGCCTCCGTTTCATTACCTGTAGAATGTTCAGATAATAGTGCCTAGATCTTAGGATTTGGAGGAGATTATATGAGGTATGTACTAAGTACTTAGCACCATGCCTGGAATGTGGTAAGTGCTCTTTCAAAGTCAGCCATTGTGGGGAGGGTGTGGCTCACGGGTGGAGCACGTGCTTAGCAGGCACCAGGTCCTGGGTTCAGCCCCCAGTCCCTCCATGAAAGTCAGCCATTGTTCCTGCCATCATTGTTATTAGGAGGGGGAGAACCCAAACTGCTGGGGCCGCCAGGAGGCTGCCGGCGCACTCAGGAAGTAAAGTGTCACTCCTAAGTCATGTGACCCAGGGCAGGCCCCTCATCATCCTTCCTGGGCCTCAGCTTTCTTGTCTGTTAAAGGGGGATGCCTCTCATGGAGTTATCATGAGAGGCAGGTGAGATCCCACATGAGGTGCTTTGTCCACTGTAATAGTGCTCTCTGATACATAGTCGGTAACAGTGTTTATTGTTTTCAAGTCTTTTGCTCTGAATATGGGGCCGTTTGTCTTTCCTACACGGACCACACATATAATAGAGTTTTCGTTTCTCTAAAAGTAGAACGAGAACTTAAAAGCAATTGGTAAGTAATATGAGGGCAGATTCTTTCACATGTTAACCCAGACTTCCACAGTCGACCCTCCCACGCCTGATTAAACAGCACTTTGTTCAGTGCGCAGTCGCGCCTCGCAGTGGGTGACATGCTGAGTCTTACCATGCCTTTGAGTAGCAGCCCTTTGCCCTTTGTATTATGGGTATGTTAGTCCGGCCCCTTTCCTAACCGTCACAAATACATGTTATCTTAGTCCCTAGACTAACAGATTTTATTTTACAGCAGGCCTTGTTTGACTGGGCCCCCAGAGTTATGTGCAGTCCGTTGTGTTTCGTAGGTGTTAAAGCCAGGCAAAAGCGTCTTGTTTCGCGACTATGGGCTCTATGATCATGCCATGCTTAGGTTTAAAGCCGGCAGCAAACTTGCAGAAAACTTCTATGTTAGACAAGATGGAACCAGATCGTATTTCTTCACTGACGGTAAGCCTGAGGGAATGTGTCTTTATTCCTGTTCACTTGCTTGTATTATCGCTGTGGCACCGGGTGGGGTGGGAGCAGCTCTACTCCACACACAGGCCACTTACCGAGCGCCAGCTGTCAGCTCACAAGCCTCCTCTGGTGACAGCGTCTAGTGACTGAGCTGGGTTCGTGGATAGGCTTGGACACGCCATGTGGACCACCTGCCAGGAGCTATGCTGAGGGGCGGAGGGCAAACCAGGCTCTTCAGTAAAGCAGGTAGGGCCGTACAGTGCCATGAGGTTAGGCACAAAGGCAAGAGATCTTTTTCTGTAAAAATGATTGACTCTTTTTAACTACACAAACTTGATATAGAGGGGTCTTTAAAGGGTCATTTTTGATCGGAAAACCATCCAAACACCGAACATTATTTTATTTTAGGTATTTTGAGCAATAATTTTAAGCCTGTTTAATACAGGCAGACATCATTTTATTACACTTTGCAGATAATTGCGTTTTTCTCCAATTGGAGGTTTGTGGCAACCCTGTGCCAAGCAGGTCTGTTGGCACCATTTTTCCAACAGCATTTGTTCATTTCATGTCTCTGTCGCATTTTGGTAATTCTCACAATATTTCAAACTATTTCATTATTATTGTATTTGCTATAGTTACCTGTGATGAGTGATCTTTGATGTTACTTTTGCGAAAAGATTTTGACTTGTTTTAGGCTCAGATGATGGTTCGCAATAAAGTATTTTTTAATTCAGGTATGTACATTGTCTGTTTAGACATAGTGTTATTGCACACTTAATAAACTACAGTATGGTATAAGCACGACTTTCACACACACCGAGGACCAGAACGTCCACGTGACTGCTTTATTGTCGTGTCTGCCCTTGTTGCGGTGGTCTGGACCAAACTCACAGTACCTCAGGGGGGCGCCTGTGATCTGGACCATATGATAATTGCCTTCTTAAGCTCTATTTTTTTTCGTTTGGTTGTTTTTTTTAACATTTGTATTTCTTGAACTATCCTCTTAGATTCTAAAAATAAAGCTAAAAACGAGTGATTACCAATAAAACTACGAAACAGTAAAAATGTCAGGTGAAAATTAAAAATTTGTTTTAAAGTTTCAGATTCATGAAATCTGATTAAACCGACTGTTAAGTAATTGAGAGGAGGCAGTAATGCCTGCAGAGGGCTTCGGAACACATTCTTCGGAGCAATGCCTTCACGAGTCTTTGTTCCGCTGCACTGCCGGTCTGGTGGTTTCATTTAACCTGTAGGGATGTGTTATTTGGACTGGCTTTCTCTTAGGGTGTGTCACCGTCGGGTGATTTTTCTCCCCACTCTGGTCACAGCTTCTCCTCCTTCATGTTAAGACGGATGAGGCTCTCGATGTAGACAGATTGAACACACGCACACTTGGTACGAGTCCAGCCAGTTTGGAGTCATGTTTCTCGCTCAGACTTTGGTACTTGGGGAATCCTCGCAGGGCAAGGTGCGCTTCTCCAGGTTGTCCTCAAACTTGTTTTGGTTCCTGTTTAGTTGGGGGTTCTGTTTGGGTGTAAGCCAGTGAGAAGCGGGAGTGTGTTAGCTTTCCCAAACAGAAGCTGCTTTAGCTTTCAGCACTGAGGGTCTCCTTCCGTTAAGGACGAGGCTCTGGGCCCCCACCCCCTCACCGCCGCTCCGTGGTGTGGTGGTGTCCAGCCTGCGAGCGCCATCCATTTGCCTGTCTTCTAGACTTCCTGGCGCAGCTCTTTCTGGACACAGGCTACGAAGCAGAGGTGAACGAGTACGTGTTTCGTGAGACGGTGAATAAAAAAGAAGGCCTGCGTGTGCCCAGGGTTTTCCTTCAGAGCAAGTTCCGCAAGGCTCCCAAGAGCCCAGTTCCTGGGGACCCAGGCCTGGGCCAGGAGTCCTGATCTCTCCTGAGGTTGGCATCTGTGCCTTCCCTTGGAGAGGAAAGTTTAAAGTCACTCTTTGTATTTTGTGTATCTTTATATCTTTTTTTAAAATGAGGATATATAATTTTTATATTAAAAAGCAAATGTGTGTGCATTATAGCAATGTAAATAAAATTGCAAGGCCTAAAAGGTAGTTTTATGGCATAACACAGTTTAGCTGGTTTGTCTGAGATTCCACAGAGGACAGCGTAGGGCCCTGGCACTTAGATCCTCAGCATTCGTTACTCTGTGAGTGGGCCTCCCGGCAGCACATCAGACAGCCCTGCAGAAAATGGGGCCAAACAGACAAAAATAGCACATCCATGTGTATTGTTAGCCTGAAGGATTGTTCTCTTTACTTCTCTTCCCAGTGTCTCATATTTGCCCATTTTTCTCTGCTTCTGCTCATTCATGTGCCCTTCAAGACCAGTATTCCTCAGGTGCCACTTGTGGTCTCTCAAGAATGCCCTGTAGCTCCCTACCTCATTCTTGAGAGTCTCTGTAATTGGGCCAGTCTGTGGCCACCCTGCCCCAATGGAGAGAGGGGAAGGCCATCACCTGTCCCCATCCTCCCGATGCAGTGTTTCCAGGAAGACAGCGGATGGACTGTCCCAACCCCCACTGGGAAATGAGGAGGCAGTGGCTCGGAGGTAGTGACCGCATGGCTAGTGTTACAGTGGAACACGAGAAATCCTGAAGTTGGTCCACTGACCTGTTCCCCAGGCATTCCCATATAAAGACTTTTTCTATAGAATATAAAATCAGAGTTCCTTTGCTCTGCTGACAAAAGTTGATCCTGTAAGCCTTTACGTTTCCCTTCTTGCAAAAGCTGTTTATGAGAACGTCTGTCTTCAGAGTTGCCTGGACTGCACATGCGGCCAGCTAGGTCGCTCAAACCCACCGTGTCTGAAGGGGGATGGTCCCCACGCGGAGGGGGCTGGGGAGCAGTCACGGCCTTACGTCCCCGGCTCCTGGAGGGGAGAGGGACAGGTGGTGGGCTCAGCACGCTTGCTGGGTGTCCTCCTGCCGTCTGTCCCTGACTTCTTGAGGGGGTGTCTCAAGGTCCGGGGAAGCAAGAGGAACCCCTGTCTCTTGTTGGTCTGTTGCTTTACTTGTTCTTCCCCCTTCTTTTTAAGGCTGGAAGATGGCTGTCCCAGGTGAGAACAAATCTGATAAGGAATAGAACAGAGTTGTCTGTTGAAACCAACCTGTACAGAAGGTGGCCCTGGGGTAGGGGGTGTGGGCTCACAGGCCTCCTCACTGAGTGAGGGGCAAGCCCAGCCCCAGAGCAGTTGGTTAGGGGAGAGCCACGACCAGCCCCAGGCCCCACATCCCGCCCCGGGCTCTTTGCTCTCAGCACCTCCCCCTGTGAACCCACAGCCAGCTTCAGCCCAGAAGGCCGCTCAGCGGCCTCCACAGAGGTCCTTTCACTGTTTGCTCCACCAGGTCTGCCCAGTGTCACTTGGCTCCTAGTGGCTAAGCTGGATTAAAAACTGGATATTTAAAGTAGACAGTGGGGAGCAGGGTGGTGTCGCCATCACTGCGCCCAGATGAAGACAGAGGAGAGGGTCTTCTCTGGGTTGGGGGCCCCGGGAGTCCGGGAAAGCAAGGCCATGGCTCATTTAGTAGCAAAACTCTGACAGGATTTGCTACATCGTAGAGTACAGAGTCCACCAATATTGCCTTATCTTCCCAGACAGAAAACAGCCCCGGAAAGGTAGTGAGTACCGGTTTCCAGTACTGCAGAAAGCAGCGGAAGTACCACCGCGCTCTGTAGCGTGGTGTATATGCTGACACGCAGTCTAGCGCACACAGGATGCCACACGGCGTAGACCGTGCACCATGCTCTGTGGTACCACGTGTTCCTGCTGAGTTTTTGATATATACTCCATCCAACACTGCTAATTATGTTACTCTATTTGGAATGTGAACATCTGGGCTCAAGTCCAGGACTCGCCACAGATGTGTAGCCAACTTTCCTGAGCCCCGGGCTTCACGTTTCCAAGACCAGGGTCCTGCCACCACAGCACAGGCCGCTGCCGCCGTTCAACGAGCGCTGTGCTTACTGCACGGGTATCGTCAGGTGCTAGCTCCTTCTGTTCGATGGTATTCCTCAAGAAAACAACCTCTCCCGTGATTTTTAACCCAAACTTCTCTTCCGTCGTATTTAACATGGGGGCCTTTGAAAGGGCTCGGGATTTGGATGCATCACCACAAGGTGGCGCTAGGTACCAACTCTTCCCATCGACTGCCCCCACCCCACCTTGTTTGAGGTTAAAATGTGTCCATTTTTGTTGTCTTTGAAGAAAAATGCCTACACATGTGTTTTCTGGGTCAGCTTTACCTCGTAGGGTCAATGCTGCCCTCATTGGGTAAGCAGGCCAGGGTGCTTTTATCCAGCGTTCAGTCTGCACTGCCTGTGGAAGGCAGCATTTTTAGGCTCTGACAGGGTCTGCAGGGCCTCCCTCCTCCTCACCCTTGAACCGTTCTGTGGACTTGCTTTTCCTGCCGCCAGAGATGAAAGCAAGCGAAGGGACTGCAGCGTGGACCCTTGTTTGCCTGGCACATCGTTCAGACATCTGTGACAGCCTTTGCTCCCCTGTTTCACTGTCGTCAGTCACGAGAGGGAAGCTGGGAAATAAATCGTGTCTACCAACAGAGTGTTTTCCAGGACCGTGTTTGCTGTGGGGGCAAATACTTAACAGAAACTTACAGAGGCGCCACTACTAGAACCAAACGTTCCATCAGAAGTAAAATTAGCTGTTTTTTCATTTTTCCTTCCTGCCCTTCTCAGGAGTGTAACATTTCACCAAATGGTGTTCAGTGGGTACCAGCCAGGCAGTCACCCCACGGGTGACTGGCGGGATGACAGAGTGGGAGTGCGGGCACACCTTGAGAGGTGGTCCCGGCCGTATCGTCACTGAGCCAAAGTGAAATGGTGGGAAACCAACACAAACACTCAGGGCACCAGAGGAAAGAAACAGGAAGACAGGCCACGGGAACCCCAAGTGTGACAGCTGTCATCATTCGGAGAGGATATTTCCACATTTTCACAGTGGAGCGTCACCTGCTCTGGGCTGGGGTGCAGCCGTGGAGACGAGAACGTGACAGCCAGCTCCTTCGGGGCATCTTCCCAGCATGTCTAGGAGAACATGGAGACCAGCAAAATGAGGCAGTTCCCAGAGGAGTACGGCTGCCGACAAAACGGTTAACTAATTAAAAATAAACAAAAATTAAACTGAGACTCTTTTTCCCTATCAAATGGATGAAGCTTGAACAATACTCTATTGCTGGTAAAGAAACAGACTGATTATGGAGGTGCAGAAAGTGTGGTTTCTCTAAAACAGCACTGTCCACCAGAGCCCTCTGAAATAGTAGACGTGTCCTTGGTCTGCACTGTCAAATGTGGTAGCCACGAGCCACATGTGTCTGTTGAGGACAAAGTTAGTGGCCAGTGCAGCAGAGAAAGTGATTTTTAATGTAGGTGGGTTTTTTTTTTGACAGGGTGTATGGGGAGGTAATTATATTTTTATTTATTGTATTTATTCTAAATTATTTTTTAAATGGAGGTACTGGGGATTGAACCCAAGACCTGTGCATGCTAAGCATGCCCTCTACCCCTGAGCTCTAACCTCTCCCCGAAAGTGATTCTAAAATTGCATTTAAATTTCAATGTAACTAACTACATGGGGTTAGTGGCAACTATATTGGACAGCGCGGGTCTAGAACACAAGCAGGCATTGTGCAGCAAATTCCATTAAATCTAAACGTAACCTTTGATCCAGTAATCCCATGTTTGGAAATCAATTTAAGGAAATAATCAGAGATGTTTATGTGAAGGATTCCATCACAGGGCTATTCAGAACAGTGAAAAGCAGCAGCTCAAATGTCTAAAAGTAGAAGTTAGTTATAGAAATTATACTATAAATGAGAATGTTGTGCAATCATTAAAATAGTTTTGAAAATTTTAGTGATAAGGAAAAGCTCCTTATATAATACAATATAAGTAAGCGAGAATATGAAGCTATATATAAGAATGGTTTTAGTTTTTTTTAATTTTTACTTTTATTTAAATTTTTTTACTTCTCAGCATCTGCCTTAGGGAATGAATGGCCCACATGCAATAAAAGGGGTGTACAAAGATTTTCAGTGTTACATTGTTTAGGATAGTGGAAAATTGGAAATACCCTAAATGTCAGTCCATAGGGGAGGGGTTAAATCAACAGCTGTATCTCCACACTACCAGATACCACGCAGCAAGGTTTTTTTTTTTAATGTGTTAGGTTTTTGTTTGTTTTTCACTTACTTATTTTGAAGGGTAGGAGGTAATTAGGTTTATTTATTTATTAATAGAGGTGCTGGGGATTGAACCCAGGACCTCTTGCATGCTAAGCAAGCGCTCTACCACTGAGCTATACCCTCCCCCAAAGAATGGTTTTAGTTTTATTATGTTTAATAATAAACATTATAAAAGGATGAGTAGATAATACTTAAAAAAAAAAAGCCCACACAAGAAGGAACCAAAACAAAATGATTACAGAGTTCAGAGTTCAATCACAGCTGATGCCTTTTCTTCTTTATACTTTTTTGAAATTTCCATGTTTTCTGTAGTGAGTGTATATTGCTTTTACATTGAGAATATAATAATCTAGCATCCTTAGAACTCCTTTCAAAACCGCATAAGTTGAATGAACTAAAATCTTAGTGACAAATCTGCTAGAAATACCTGTTGATCCCTTAATCTTACCCAGCAGGAGCTGGAGGATGGACACCTCCCAGGAAGAAGAGAATGGGTGTCCTAGGATGGTCCTTGTGCCCGGAGAGGAGCCTTGGGTGGGGGATTTTCATCTGTTGGGCTGACCCTTCATGGATGCTTTAACCTTGGGGATGCATATCCTTCAGTCTCTCGGGGAAATTCACTTGAATTACTTTCTTAATGACTCCCCACCACTACCAACACACGCACACCCCACATGTGTTTTCTCTCTTTCTGGAACTCGTACTATTAAGATGTCAAACTTCCTGAAGTCACCATTTACAATCTGTTCTCTCCCTTTCTGACATCTCTTTCGTAGCATTTTGGGGCTTAAGATTCAGTGTCTCGAGGGAGGGTATAGCTCGTGGTAGAGCACATGCTTAGCATGCACGAGGTCCTGGGTTCAATCCCTGGTATTGCCATTAAGATAAATAAATAAACCTAATTATCTCTCCCTCCAAAAAGTAAATAAATAAAATTAAAAAATGAAAAAGATTCAGTGTCTTGTCTTCCAAGTCAGCTGCTATTCATCCATCTGTGTTCAAGCCCCCCACATTTTATCATCTCTCAATGGTTTTGTGCAATAAAAAATGCTTTTGCTGTCATCTTAGTGGGGTTTCCAGAAGGAGCTGAAATAAGAGCGTGTGCTTAGTCTGCATGTCCGGGCCAATTAGCCCATCGGGTCGAGAAGGCAAAGGTCACACACACATACTGGTGGACAATGTCAGCAGGAAATGGATGGGCTTGATTGCCAAGTGTCAAGGGCCTGAAGGATCTGGAGGAACGAAGGCAGCTCGGGGGAGCTGAACATGGTGGTGTGTGCTTCCAAATACATAAGGGCTGGTTCCAGGTGTGCCGCTGGGCAGAGTCCACGGTGTGCCGAGTCAGGGTCAGGTAGCTGTTCAGAAGCTGCGTCCAGCCGCAGCCCGGAGTGTGTGTCACAGACCTTGGAAATGGCTGTGCTTTTTCCCATTGACTTCGTTTGTAGGGCTCTTTCCTAAGAGAGAAGCTAACATATATGTAAGGACTTTTTCATAAAGATGTTCATTAGCAGCACTTAAAGAAAATCATACCAAATATTAGAAACAGTCTAAACTGGGGCTCAGCAAACTATGGCCCGTGGATCAAGTTCAGCCCTTCTCCTATTTGTGTAAATGGAGTTGTGAAGCACAGCCACACCCCTGTGCACACTGTTTATGCCTCCTTTCCTGATATGACACCAGAGACTAAAATATTGCTCTCTGGTCCTTTAAGAAAAAGTTTGCTGACCCCTGGTCTAAATGACTTGTAGAAGAACAGTTCAGCCAACCAAGGTGCATCATACGATGAAAGAGAATGTAGTCAATGAACACTATTTTTTTTTACACAACTGGTGAAAAAAAATAACATAAAATTTACCATCTTAACTATTTTTAAGTGTATAGTTCAACAGTGTTAACTGTTCTCACTGTGTTGTGAAACAGAGGCCCAGAGTATTTTTATCTTGCAAAACTGAAACTCTACCCATCAAATAACATTTCCCTTTTCTTAGCCTCTGGCCACCCCCATTCTGCTTTCTATTTCTATGAATTTGAATACTTTAGATACTGCATAGCATTGGAATCATGCACTTCTTTGTCTTTTTGTGACTGGCTTATCTCACTGAGCATAAGGTCCTCAAGCTTCGTCTGTGTTGTAGCAGATGACAGAATTACCTTGCTCCTTAAGGCTGAAATAAAGTACCATTTTGTGGATATACCACACTTTGTTCATCTATCAATAGATACTTGGGTTGCTTCTGCCCTCTGGCTATTGTGAATAGCGCTGCTATGAATATGGGGGTACAGGTACTTCTGAGAGATCCTGCTTCCAATTCTTTTGCCTGTATAATCAGAAGTAGGATGACTGGGTCATATGGTAGTTCTATTTTCAGTTTTTTTGAGGCAACTCAGTGCGGTTTTTCCATAGAAGTTGTACTATTATTCCTTTTTGTATTGAAGTATAGTTGACATACAATGTTTTGTTAATTACAAGCGGACAGCATAGTGATTCACCATTTATACGCATTATGAATTGATCACCATGGTTAAGTCTAGTTCCTACCTGCCACCATACAAAGTTATTACAGTATTATTTGCTGTATTTCCTGTGCTATACATTACATCTCTATAACCTATTTTATAAGTGAAACTGTGTACCTCTTAATCGACGTCACCTATTTTCTCCAAACCCTGCCCCCCGACAGCTACCAGTTTGTTCTCTGTATCAGAGTCTGCTGGGTTTTGTTTGTTTGTTTTTTTAGATTCCACATATAACTGACACCATATGGTATTTGTCTTTCTCTGTCTACTTATTTCACTTGGCATAACACCCTCTAGGTCCATCCATGTTGTTGCAAATAGCAAGATTTCATTCTTTTTATGGCTGAGTAGTATTCCTTTGTATGTACAGTTGACCCTTGAACAACAACCCAGGGGTTAGGGGCACTAACACTCCATGTAGTTGAAAATCCGCTTCACAGTTGGCCCTCCATATCCACAGTTCAACCCACAGTTGAATCCATGGATTCAACCAGCAGCATGTCATGATGTACTATAGTACATATTTATTGAAAAAAATCCACGTATAAGTGGACCTATGCAGTTCAAACCTATGTTGTTCAAGGGTCAACCGTGTATACCACATCTTCTTTATCCATTCCTCTACTGACGGACACTTAGGTTGCTTCCATATCTTGGTTATTGTAAGCAGTGCTCTGCAGTGAACATAGGGGTTCATACCTTTTTGAATTAGTGTTTTCATTTTGTTAGATAAATACCCAGAAGTGGAATTACTGAATCTTACGATAGTTCTATCTTGAATTTTTTGAAGAACGTCCATGTTGGCTTCATAGTGGCTGCACCAATTTACATTTCCACCAA